TTTTTTTTTTTTTTTTTTTTTTTTTTTTTTTTTTTTTTTTTTTTTTTTTTTTTTGAGAAAGGGATAATTCGAATTTATTATTAAATATAATTAGAAACGAACAACATATTATAATATTCAAAATTATGTTTTGATTCCATAACTTTTTTATTGCAACTATTCCTTTCCCCTAATTTCGGCCGCTTTCATACCTCTTAAAGGTATGAAGCTAAAATATTAACAATAATGGAATCAGACGGAAGCTACACATAAATGACGAAACAACCCCTCAACTGCTGCAATGTACAATTTACCTGGTCACCGTATCAACCTCATCCAAACGACTTTTAAATTCCTGAAACTGGATTGGCTCTCCCACAGAATGGGGGCACAGTTTGTGATTTATTTTATTCGTTCATTTCCCAAACTTTATTATAAAATATATACTATGCCAATTCTTTATTCAAAGTGGCATTTCCAATTGTATTATTTAAAACAAATAGGATTCACGTTTACAAGACTTATATGTATTAAATAATGAATGACATAATCGCCTCAACTTTATTCATCTGAATCTTCCGCTGTCTACATGAGATTCTGATTTTTATTATTATTATTATTTATTTATTTCACCATATCTAATTCATTTGATTTTTTTTTTAAAATGAACTCCAACTGCAATTTGGTTCTTTTATTTATTTTAGAATATGGTCGAATAATTATATATTTTGACAAAATATTAATATAATCTTACATTTTATGAATATCTACTTTAGCTAAATATTTTAAAGCCTGTGTTTTGACACTTGTAATTTACCATTATACTAAAAAGTTAACCCAGTAGAAGATAGTTGGTAAAAAATATTGATAATTTAAAGTAGTTTTTTTTTTTTATGTAATTTGAGATAATAAAAAAAGAAAAAAAAAAGGAAGAAGATTCGGTTTCGTTGTTGGGTAGGAGTTATTGCAAAGGCATGCATGCAGGCAGGGTGTGAGCCATGGGCACCGATATGTTTGAAAATAGTTATGGCGCTGCGTGTTGCCCAACGAAAGGATTCCCTTTTTATTTAATTTCCTCTGCATTCCCTTTTATTGGAGACGGAAAATATGCAGAAAAACAATTTGGAATTCAATGCTTTGGTCCGCTGTGTGTTGAAGTTTGAGAGTGAAAGCGCTTTTAATGCGACCTAATCTCTAACCTAACTCTGCCTCCTCCCTCCCTTTTATCCCTTCTTCATAAGCCCACCCTCTCATCATCCCCTTTCATCCCTCTCCCTCTCTCTCTCTCTCTCTCTCTTTCTTCTCCCTCTTCATCTTTTGAAATAGTTTACTCCGATATTGGCCCGGCTCACTCAGATCTAACTTACAAAATCTATCTGATTGAGCCGTGTCAATATCTCAGTCTACTCTTTCCTTTTCAAGTTTCTCCTCTCCGTAACATATGTTCCGATCAGGTCTGTTCCTCTCCTCTTCAAAAATATTTGTTTTATATATAAAAAATTTACCCTTATTTTTATTTCCATTCAAATTAAGAACATTTTAATATTGAAATGAAAATTGTATTGGTTTGTGCATATTTATTAGAATTGTGATCGGTTGTTTATGATATATGATTACAATTGCATGCATATAATATATATATGAAAGAAAGTAAATGTATTTAACTTGAAAGGACGCAAAAGATTCCGTATGATAACATAATAGCTTATATGCATTGACTTCCCTTCTACGGAAGACACTATTACACAACTACCCATCAATTATTTCATTAATTTCTGTCATTTTCTCTATCTATTTTGAATCACTGACGGAGGAATCTGTACATTTATATCTGTTCCGAGTGGGCTTTGTTTTAGGCCCTTTTTGTTTCATTTTGGGGCCCAATTGGAAATATGGGTAAATGGGCCTTGTAAAATATAGATGTACATATTCTCTTGGCGTTAATTACCAAAAAGAAAAAGAAAAAAAACTGAAATATCAACTGGAATTGAGTTGAAGAGGTGTGGGAGGAACGGCGGTTCTTCTCTTCCATATATTCACCTCCTTTCTGGGTTGCAGTGGGCCCACGTCTTCTCCGATCCACACTGTCTCCGACACCGGGCTCCGCCCATCGCCCTCCGGCTCCTCTCCTTCCAAGTCAGCTGGTACAATCTGCGCCGTCCAATCAAAACTCGCCAACGTGTCACGTCCACTTGAGAATCGCTTCATCTGATTCAACCGCGGTGGCTTCCCACCACCACGGTGATTCCTCGACGGAGCCGCCACATGGTTTGATTTCGCCCTCCCGAGTATTTTCCCACCGGTCAAAATTCTCTTAATCACCGACGGCGGATGCCGCTTTTTCGGCTGGGAAATTTTAGCCGCCGCAGCAGCAGCATTCCTCGCTATTTCCTTCATCTTCTTCTTGTGCTTGATTTGGCCGATGCACGAAACTTTCGGCGAAGTTGGCTCCAGCGTCTCGAGTCCCGAGCTATTCGATTTGGACTGCGCTTCTTTTGGTATGATCGAGATCTTTACTGGACCGGAAAACCCTCGTCCGGCGACTTGGCGGTTCTCCCTGCCAGGACTTTTCGGCGGGTTGTGGAAAATTAAGGCGGAGGCCGCTCTGGGAAAAAGCTTCATGATTTTGCCTTTGGGTTCAATTTTGAGTCGCAATTTCAGGGCGTGGATTATATATACTGTCAGTTGACATTTAATTAACGAAGAATTAAGAAAGGTTCGTCGACGCTGCTTTGGTCAAACGTCGTGAAAGGTCTGACCAAGCAATTTTTTTCCGGCTACCTTCAAATTGTTATATATTACAAAAACATTCCTCCACCATGTTTTTTTCCTTTTCATTTTATTAAATATTAAGTATTTATGTCTGTCATTTGAAATTATGGTTTTTAATTGTTATGCTAAATCACAAATTGAGTATAGAGTGATAATACTCCTTATTTTTTTTAAATAATCAAGAACCCAATATTGAGTGAATTTAATGACATGTTTATATAATTCAAAATATATACTTAATACGGAAGAATTAGTCTGTATTGTGACGTGGAATTTAAATAAAAGTAGGCGGAATTCACAAATGTAACGTCACATTTAATTAATGTGTTTTTTAATTTTAATATAAAGTCGACGTTAATAGTAAATGAGTATTTTATTTGGACCAATTTGAGCTCCCATCTTTGACTCGGTTGCATTTGTTAATCACTGACCTTATCTAATCTAAGTATTTTAATTTTATCATTTATTATTGGGGTTTGGCTGATGAAAGAAACCATTGAGATCAACCAAATTGAATTGGTTTAGTCAATTTCTGAACTTTGTATATGACATTTTTTTTAGATTTTTTTTTTTTTAAAATCAACCAAATAAATACTATTTTTATTATTTTATTTATTTATTCTTTGCCTGTGCTTTCAAAAATCAAATCAGATTTTGAAATTAAAAAAGAAAAAAGAAATTAAGCCAATATTTTGATTTTATTAAAAAAGAAAAAGAGGGCCATCGAGCCCAGTTAAAATTTTGGGCCTACTAACCTGGAGTCCTACTGGGCGAATACCAGGCTTCAGCCCAAATCGTTTCCCAGAAAAGCCCAGTTTCTGGAGTCACTGGCCCAACTCCAGTCCTTCTACAGATCGTCGTCTTCCTTCATGACCTTCGAACTCAGAACCGAACAACAGAAATAGTTAACGTCAGATTGAACCAGAAATGGAATTCACTTCAGTTTGATCCACAGTGGGCTTGACGAACTGGTAGTAGCACCATCTATTTGTCCTCTAGGTAAGTCCGTACATTATAGAAGAAATTTACGTTTACGTTTTGCCCTAGCTTTTGTTTGATATGATTCTGCTAGAAGATATTCATTTTGTTCAACTAGTCTTCAGAGCCAAGAGATTTCGACTATTTGTTCTATAAATTTCTCCACGTCGGAATTTTACTGGTGGAAGAATTTTGTATGCAGTCGAATTCTTCCGCTATATCTAACATTGTAGAAATGTTGTACAGGAGGAGAATTCGCCATGGTTCTCTCCCTCGATTTACAGGAATTTATTCTCCGTGCAAGAGTGTTGAAACTGTACAGGCATGCTTTAAGAACTGCTCAAAAAGCTCCTGTCCACGCTCGAGGTTAAGCTTTTGATATCTTACAATGAAGTATTCTTTTGATGACGAACATCATCTACTTTCTATGCATTTTTCTTGTCATGATCTTCAGATGTCATTTGAATTCGCCCTGGTTTCATTTCGGATTTCGTTAGTTTTGAAATTGTCTGCTTTGCACAGAGGAACTGAGGCATACAATCAGACAAGAAATGGAGAACAACCGCGGCTGCAATGAGAGACAGAAAGTAAGGTTTCTGCTGAGTGAAGGAATAGAGAGATTGAAGCGTTTAGAGGAGATGTTGGATATGCAGGGTAACTAATGAAGATTGTCATCACCGGCATTATTCAGTAATCTTTTCAAATCTCTGTTACTTCAGTATGATATTGAGACTCAAACTTGAATGCTGGCTTGATGAAACGATTGGATTCTGAAAACAATAATTGAATTCCTTGCAAAATTTCAATAACAAAAACAGATCTTTTAATTCCAAAACCTGGTCTACATTTTAGTAGAGAACAAAACAAAGAAGCTTAAGAAGAGGTTCAAGAGAACCAAACAGCCCCTTGTAATTTGTCCCCTCCTAATTTGAAGTATCTAATCTAGGAACCTTTTGCCTTCTAATACTGTTGTAGACAGCTCTCCCAGCCCACGCAAGTGGCAGCCTCAGGCCAATTCACATAGGATCTTAACAAAATCAAAGCAATGACCCAGCCATACAAACTGCTGGGTGATAGTTATAGTTATCAAATGGGGCTTTAACTTCTTGTGTCGGTCGACACTTTGCCAACGTAACTACAGCTTCGAGTATAAAAGAAGCCAGTTACTCTAAAGGGGCCGTGAGGCAAAACCTCTCTCGACCATCTTATCCACCAATTCCTCATGCTTCTTCAACTGTCCTGCCTTTCTTAGCTGCTGCAGAACCATCTCATAGATAGGCATGCTGGGCTTTAAGCATTTCTCCTCAATCATTTCCCTGAAAAACTTGTAGGCATTGTTCCAATGCCCCATCCCACAATATAACGATATCAGTACTTGGTAAGTATTCAAATTAGGCTCAACTTCTTCTTCTTCCATCTCCTTCTTCAACTTGAAAATCATATCAGCAGATTTTGATTCTGCAAACATCCGCATCAAGATATTGTACGTCACTGTATTTGGCTTACAACCCAGATCCTTCATCTTAGCAAACATCCTATGAACACCATTTACATCATGCGACTTCACGATACACCTAAATATGGGATTAAAGGTCGACGCATTCGGGGTACAGCCTTTCTTAGCCATAGAGTTGAGGACCTTTGTAGCCTCTCCAAGATTATCATCCTTACAATGAGTCTCAATAAGAAAGTTATAAGTAATTATGTCAGCAGCACAACCCAATCTCTTCATTTGATTGTACACTTGCAAAACCTTCTCTGTTCTACCAGCCTTCACGTGGACTCTTATAAGATTGTTGAATGTAACTGAGTTGGGATTGCAACCAGCATCAATCATCTCAGAGAAAACATCATGGGCACGAGTAATTTGGCCACATCTACACAATGCATCAATCACAATGCTGTAAGTATAAACATTAGGGCTAATACCTGCCATCTTCATCTCTTTAAACACCCTCTCGGCCTCTGAGATATCACCGGCTCGACACCAGCCATGGACCAGGTTAGTGTAAACAATAACATCAGGTTCAAATTTATGTTTCAGATTGTCAAAAAATGACTGGGCTTCAGTTGCCCTTCTCTTCTTGCACAGAATGCTGATAACAATTGTGAAAGCAATCTTGTCAGGATTGCAGCCGTAGTCCTCCATGCGATTAAACGCATGAACCGCCTCCGCCGCCAATCCAGCCCTCACATACCGCCGGACAAGAATCGAGAAGGTTTCAACAGTAATTTCAACATTTCTAGCTTTCATCAGATCAATCAAATGCCACGCTAATCCGAATTGTTTCACCTTACCGGCTAGGTCAATCATCTCGTTGTAGGGCTGTGCAGAGTGCTCGAACGTCTCGCTTGCCGTCGCCCAATTGAAGAACGCGAGGGCTTGGAGGAAGGGGATGCCATGGCGGACGCCACCAGATTTCTCGATGACGTAACGAACGACGCCCGGAGAGACGGCATGGACAGGTGAGATTTGGGATAGTTCGTTGGAGAGAGCAGAAATGGTGAAGTTAGGGCTTGGTGGAGTGGGATCGGGACTGGGATTTCTTCGATAGTATTCCTTAATTAGGGAATGGAATTTATCGGCGGCCTGAATTTCTTCCGGTAAGAGGACAGGCTTTGAGGCTTTCGGAGTAGTATTGCTCGCGTCCTCGTCTTGAAGTTGAGACTCGGAAATTGAAGTGGAAGATGAAAATAAACGGTGATTCTGTAAGAACGGCGAGAGAGAAGACAGAAAGGGTGGAAGATTTGGCTTCGATTTGAACAGAGCCATTACTGGATTCTTCTCCGTTGAGGTTTCAGTTCGCTCCGGCTGCACAGACACTCGGCTTGGCGTTGGGTTTTTGCAGGGTTTTGCAGCGAACCTTCAACCTCACAACTCACAGATCTACCGTAAAATTGATTGCCCTAATTTCTAAATTTCTAAAAAAATTCTCCTTCTGTTTAAAAATAAATATTTCAAATTTGCTCAAGTTTTACTGCAAACAACAATTTCATTTAATTCCTCATGTGAAGATCTGTGAGAAAATATTTTCATATATATTTTTTTAAAAATGATACTATATTATATACTTATAATTTTAAGGGTAAAAATTGTATTTCTTCTTCCTTAAAGTCCAAATTAACAATTCATTAAAGTAAAGCAATACATAAGAAACTTATAAAATTTTAATTGTAAAAATATAAAATATATTTGATAAATATTGAAGAACGGAAAACTTAATTGTATAAGGGACGTTATTGACTTTGCGTATCTAATTAATTATCTATACATAATATTAAACATAATTTCCCCCTTTTCCCCCCTTTTTTCATGCTGTAAACTGTAATTTAGTTAATTTTTGGTTCCATTGTCCCTTTGGTCATCATGTTTACAAACTCGTCGAAATTGATTTTTCCATCCTGAAACAAAGAAAAACAAGAGTTATTAGGGTGAAGCGTACTCTATCGATATAAAATTATCTTCGTTTTGAATAATAAAGAAATTGCGACGAAACAAGCACAATTTTTAAAAATATAAAACTAAAAACAAGATAGTTATTAGAGTGAAGCGTACTCCATCGATATCGATGTCATTCAGAATTTCATCTATGGTGTCTTCATCTCCCATTTTATACTGAATCATGGCTTGTTTCACCTCATCTCTTGTGATAAATCTGAAAGAAAGTATGAGCATTTTGTGTATCAATATCACCTTCCCAATGCAAGAGGTTATCAATTCTTCATTACTAACCCGCTTTTATCTACGTCAAAGAACTGGAAGGTCTTGTATATGTTATCTTCCTTCTCAAGCCTATGTCGATGCATCGTTGCAGTAATAAACTCACCATAGTCGATCATCCCGCTTCGGTCGACATCAGCCTAACCGAGCAGAGATGTAACTTGTTCATGTATTAGGATTAATAGGCAATGCATGAACAGAAGACAGATTTTGGGTTCTTACCGCATCCATTAGTTGCTTTATTTCGTGTTCGGAAAGCCTCGAACCGAGCCTCGACAAACCGGTTTTCAGCTCTTCTAATGTGATGGCACCACTTCTATCAGTGTCTATGTTCTTGAACATTTGTTTCAGACCTTTTAATTCTTCTTCTGAAAGGTTTTCTGCCATTACCTACCAACAACATTGCATATCTCTAATACAGAGATCATAGAAAAGGTAAATGTAAATTATGTAAAAATATGTAATATACTTTGAGAGCAAGCTGCTTAAACTTGTTCATTGCTCTGAATTGCTTCATTCTAACGAGCACCGCGCTATCGATCGGCTTGCTGGAGGCCTTGCCCTCGATCTTTAACCAAGGATGTTCTGGTCCATTAATGAGAGAATTAGTTTTAAAGCATGTTCGAGAGTGATTTTGATATGTCATGTGCTATCTAAATAACTAATATCTTACCGAGCGCTTCTGCAGCGGTGATCCGCTCCTTCGGGTCTCTTCTCAACATTTTAGAGACAAGATCCTTGGCAGAAGGGGATATGGAAGGCCATGGAGCGTCTTCCATTTCCAGGTTGCCACTCAGAACTGCTTTTAATATGTCATCCTCAGTCTCTGATGGAATTCAAACATCAAAATCATTAGAAGAAAACAAAACCAACTCCATTAAACTCCAATCATAAGGGTACAATACTTAACTCGTTAGCTCGGTTCTAAGTCTAGAATAGATACTCGTTTTTAAGGCGAATACTAAAACGAAACCAACTATAAGCTAACAAGTCTAGTCTTGAAGGCAGAATACGAAAAATGAAATCGTTAACAAACGAGGCCTTAAATTTTAAATCGTGCCAAGGAATTTACTTACGACCACAAAACGGAGGCTCTCCACATAGGATAAGGTAGAGAATAACTCCAGCACTCCATATATCAATCTCCTTCCCATAATTCCGCTGCAGAACCTCAGGGGCAATATAATATGCACTTCCAACTATGTCTTTGTATGTTTTGCCTGACAAACCATTTTCATTCAAACAAAAGCTGTTAACAAGCCTGAGAAATAGTAATAGTTAGGAACCACGATCATCGACAATGTTATGATATTGTTCATTTTGAACATAAGCTCTCGTGACTTTACTTTTGGTTTTCACAAAATGCATCATACCAATGGAGATGTGTTTCTTACTAATAAACTCATGATTATCCCCTTAACAAGTATACCATAGAGCCTCTCTTGGGGCTTATGGAGTCTTCGAACAACTTCCCCTTAATCAAAGGCTCGATTCCTTTCTTTGGTGCCCGCAAACAAATTACACCATTTGTTCGATTCTTAGAGTCACTTTTGACTACACCTTCAAGGCTAACCACTTCTTTGTTCAAAGTTAAGTTAAGAGGATAATGATTATGATACCATGTTAGTAACAAGAAATAAAAACAAAATAAAAAAAGAAATAGAATTCAGGGTTCATGTTGCTAGCCTTCAGTGCTTCATGAAGTGGTCAACTTGGTTGACCAGACTCTCTACGTTGAATTGGTCAACAGTGACTTTCAATGTACCCCTCACGGGTTAATAGCTGAATATGCCATTTATTTGAATCCAAGAACTCCATTAGCTTAAGAGATCACAGTTCAATTCATTCCCAAGGAAAATTAATGCAACATGAAGGCATAATCGAAAACTGAGTTACCTTCTTCGATGAAAACGGAGAGTCCAAAATCCGTAGCCTTAATCGGCGAATCGTCGTCTTCACTGACCATGAGGAAGTTCTCAGGCTTCAAATCTCTGTGCATAACCCCCATAAAATGACACGCATGAACCACATTCAATATCTGTTTACAAATGCACGCCGCTTCCCTCTCCGAGTAACTGTCTTTCTTGATGATCCGATCGAAAAGCTCTCCGCCGGAACACAGCTCCATGATGAGATGCAAATTTTCCTCATCTTCATACGCGCCCTTGAACTCCACGATGTTGGGTTGGCCAGTCAAATGCTGAAGAATCAAGATCTCCCTTCTCACATCCTCTATATCATCGGGATTCACCATTTTTCTTCTGGAAATCGTCTTGCAAGCATATTTGCGCCCAGTGGCCCGCTCGGTGCAGAGATAAGTAGTCCCGAACTGGCCTCGACCGAGCTCCTTGTGGAGGTCGTAGATTGTGGTTATGTTGATGTAGGGGCGGCCGGTGATGGGTCCAATCTGCGACGGCGGAACGGACTTGTAAGAGGGAATTGATTGCGGCTTTTGAGGGCTTTGGGGGGTCGAGTCGGAGCCGTAGTTGAAGGAGGCGATTGGAATGTCGCGGATTCTGGTGAACCAGAGGCCCATGGCGGAAAGGGAAGAAAGAAATGCACAAATCTTTTCGTTGATGTTGTTGTTGTTCTTCTGGGTATGAAGATTTTATGAACGGAGGTTGGAAGCCAGCAAAATGATTATTGCCTTCTTTGCTGCGGTGGGTTCTTTATTCTGTGCTTTGCTTTCGCCTCTGGGTTGCTCTTCGGCATCATTCCGTCTGTAGTGTAATGTATATATTTGTTTAATTTTAATAATATTGTAGGTGTTGCTTATGGTAGCGTATTGCTTGTATAAGACGTGTTGTTCAACATTGCATACCCGTTCCAAACCCCATTTACATGGATAAACCTTTACTATTTGAAGTCTATACACCAAAATCATGTATTTTAGAGCTACAATACCTAAAAAATTGTGGAGATACGAACTAATTATATGCTATTTTTATAATCATATAAAGTTGTTTTCCGTAATTCTTGGTTTTCTTAAGTGTTTCCTTTCTCACTTTTTCTAAACATTTTCTCACAACGTGGTTAAAGACTCGAACATACGTCGACGTTGTCAGCAACGTCCAAATTTTTCATGATTGATTTGTTCGCTTGGTCTTGATAGAACAAGTGTCGTGCCATGATTATAACATGAATGCAGACAATATTTTTTTATTTTAGAAGTTTGCTAAAACTTTCAACCCAAAACCAGACAACGTACCCAATTTAAAAAAAAAATGATTATCAAATATTTATTTAAAGTTCTCCGTAAATGGACCTGCGGCCCAACAATCTGGAGACCATCGTATTGGGCCTTTAAGAACGCAGGTTGGCATGGGCCTTCTAGACCTTGAAGCTGGGCCATGGAATATAAATGGGCGTCAATTCCGTATAACTTCGACCCCAAATTTTGGATTTATTCGAATTATTTTCATTTTCATTTTGTTATTCTTTTTTCCTATTAAATGGTTTATAAACTACCAAGTATCTTAAGTGGCGTTTATTTTAAAGGTCGGGGAAGAGATTTGAAGTAATATAATTTAATTTTTTAAAATATAAGTTGTGATAAATATTTAAAATTTAAAGTATATAATTTTAATAAAATCATTTATTTAAGGATAATTATTAAGATTTATTATAAAACAAAAAATAATTTAATAATCTGACGTGATAAAAATAAAATAGATTTAAGTACATGTAATTATCTTAAATATAATGGATAAAAGTGAGGCTGTTTAAAGAAGGAATGAAATATATATTATATTTTCTCCTAAAAAATATATTTACAGAGATGAAAACAAGTTCTTACAGCGATTTGTACAGCGGTCATATCAATAGCAGTAGGACAGGGGTACAAATCGTAAATTACATGAAATAAAGGGACTTTTTGAAACGAAACTCCTCGATTTTGCCCGTTCCATCCAGTTCCCGCTTTAACTTTTTTTTTTTTTTTTTTTTTCCGTCTATAAATGCAGCGTCTCAGTAACTGATTGTAGTCCCTCACGCCATTACTGTCTTCTCTTTTTGTTTTCTCTCTCTCAGGGTTTTCTTCCATTTTTCTTCCGTCATTCTTTGGTTGTTTTTCTTGTTCTTCAATCTTCCGCTTCAATGGCGCAATCCGAGTCTCAGAATGGAGCAGGAGCTGAGAAGACCTTGAGTTTCAAGGCTCTTAAGCCGCAGCTTCTCGTGGAGGTGCCGAAGGCCGCTGATGCCGTCGTGTTTTACAAGGCTGCATTCGGCGCGGAAGAGGTTAGTCGTACTGTGCACCCGAAACGCAAGGCTGAGCAAGAAGCTCCGGCTATCCTTTCCGCCGAGCTCAGCCTTTCTAACTTCTCGTTCCTCGTCTCTGATGTTCTCGACGCTTCTGCTTCTGAGTGAGTCTCTCTCGTTTTTTCCTGCTTTCTTTCCCTGTTCGTTTATGCGTTTCTTTGATACAACTGATCAACCAGTCTATATTGCATTTGTTTGTTGTTTTTGTCTGCTTTCCCCACTTCTGAGTTGTGTTGTTTTTTGTTTACTCTTCAATGGTCCCTTTGAAAGATCTGCTCAAGCTCATGGAGCTCTGTTTTTTCCTTGAGTTTATCTGATGCTTAAACAACATTTCATACGTTTGCTTCGGTATCTGCATGTCTCTTATTCTGCGTCATCTAGCAGCTTGTTCATCGTTTTCTTTGCATGGCGTCTAGTTCGATTCTATGGTATTCCGATCGTAGCATACCTATCGTTTCTGATTTATTTATTTATTTTGTTTTCAGCGAGAAAGTATTCGAATCAAGAGTTGTGCTCTTCTTGGAAACAGAGGATATTATAGCCGCTGTATCCAAGGCCGTGAGTGCTGGAGCTGTTGAGGAGTCTGAGATTTCAGAAGGCGATGGCTCATACGTCGGCCGTCGCGTTGCTAAGCTGAAGGATCCATTCGGATTCAACTGGATCATCGCTACACCAGCGAAAGAAAGCGCTGTCGTGGAAGCCTAACTTTCTGCGTCTTGCCTAACTTAACCCGCAGTTTTTTCTTTCGATCTTGCAACATTGCTTGTAGGCTCTTAGGATTCGCGAGGCTTTAGTTAGGATGTTTTGAATACGTAGCTCAAGACTGTTGCCTTTCTGTTTGGCATTCTGTGAACGCTTGTGGACGTTTTGGTTATGCTTTTCTTAGTGGCAGGCTACCCCTTGTTTTGACAGTTCCTTCTCTCAGCATTTAGCCGCTACACATTTCATTTCACTTATTTTGCTTGCAAACTAAAAATAAGAAACTTTGCGGCCTAACCGAGTCTGCGAATTGTGCCTTTTAATGGATAATGTCGTTAATCCGAGCATGCTTTTTGTTTACACATTCTTCAAGAATGTTTATATTTTTAAAATTAAAATGCTCCATTCTGTGTCAGGAACGAACGGAGGATTTCAAATTGCATCCCGCTTGAAGGTACTTTCTGCTGTTCACAGTAATTGGTGATTGATGAGGTTGAAATCGCACACTTGTCCTTGCGGCAATTTCTTTTGTGGTCCAACAAAAAGGGGCTAGTACAGGAGCCCTTGACTTATCGTAATCCGCTGCACGCCGTGCCTGAGATTTTCAGTGGCTTCTCCTACGAAAGGCTATGGACTGATGGTCAATCACTGGAGCCCATTGTTTTATAGCCCACTATTCGTCTACTGTGGAATGTTTGGTGAATGGTTTTTATGATAATTTAATTTTGCCGTATTTCTTTGTAGGTTGTGAAATTATTCATGTGATTTGGATTTGTTCTTTGTTTCAATTTCACAAATTCCATGTTGGTTTCTTCCATTTGGATTTACTTTTTATTTGTTTCTTCCCAGTTTTATATTAAAGTGTTCGTTTTATAATTTTAATCCAATTACGGCCTTAGACTAATAAGATACCAAATTTTAGTTGTCTTCATTATTGGCACCTATTCAGGCCTTGATGGGCGTGCTTTGCTTTCTTGGAATTCGTGGGCCTCATTTGGGTTTTGGGGGGCTAGCCTGTGGGCCCAAGGGAGGAATTGGCCCATGAACGTAAACTTTTAAAATCAAATTCAAATTAAAACTTAGTCTAATATTTTAATTTACTTTTCTGGCCCTACGATATAATTCATTTGATTTCAAAGTTTCTTTCTATAAACAAAAGCAAAAAAATCAAATATTTAGATTTTTTTTTTTTTTTTTGGTTGAAAACTTATAGTTCTTTTTTCTAAAAAAATATGTTTTATTTTTCCATAGGCCATTTTGTTCTTCTAACAATTCGGTAGACTTTTAACGTAGCCTCAATTCCATGCCTAAGAAACATGCCTCCAATGATTAGAGGGTCGAGCCTATGAATGTGGTTGACTTTTTCGTTTTTTAGTCTATCGATTATTTTTCCAACTTTACTCTAGATTACTTAGTTAAATATTCATCGCACTTACTTCGTAGGTCTTATGTGACAACACGGTCGAATCACACCAACCTATGTTCTAAATCTATTAGACCAAATTCACACGTGACAAATACAATAGATTAAATTAACTTAAAGCTTTTATAGCAGAGATATTCAAAATTACTTAAATATACTTTAATATCCGAATTTTAATTTCTATCTAACAAATTTAATATCTATAAGTGAATTTGAATAAATTAATTGATTAAAACATTATTTTAATTATAAAATTTAATTATTATTTCAATTGTCATTATGGTAACTCGATTAATATAAATTTTGAACTTGACGAAAGCTGAGGTTTAAAATTTATTATATATTTAAATAAATATTTTGGAAAATAAAAGGAATATTAGAAGAGAAAATCAGCAAGAACTTGATAGGACCGGGTGAAGTAGTCGGTTAGGGTAGTTTTCGCAATAGTGCCGCTACTATATAAAGGGCGAAACACCAGTGCTGGCGATTTAGGGCGTAACAGAAGAAACAAGCCGTAGAAGAGGGCTCTCGTTTGTGGAGCGGATAATCCTACTTTCAATCGCTGTAGTCCTCAGATCGAACCTCATAGCTTCAAGTATGCTTCATTTTGCTTGTGTTTGGAGACGACTTTCATCGCCCTCTGCACTTTCTCTTTCGTTTTCTGTATTTTACTTCTCTTTCTGGTTCGTAGCTTTTCATTCTTTACTCTAGGATGTTTCGATGCTGTTCAATGTTCGTATCTTTGTTTGTTTTGCGGGTTGGAGCAGTGGGAGATTATTGATTTTGTTTGCATCTGTAAAATCGGATAACTGTCTTGGCTGCGCAGATGGATCGGTACCACAGAGTTGAGAAGCCAAGGGCTGAGACTCCAATTGACGAGAATGAGATTCGGATTACAAGCCAGGGAAGGATGCGCAACTATATCACATATGCCATGACCCTACTTCAGGTTTCTCTCCATATGTTTGGCTTATTTGCTGGGGTTAATTGTCTTTCTAAATCTCTTAATACGTGCTTTGAGTTTTTTTACTGTAAAATGTCGTCTTACTATGGAATTAACAAATTGTGGGTTCTGCATGTAATTCGTAGTGTTAATAATAATAAATTGTGTTGGCATCATCAACGAGCTGTTTTGGCACAAAGGATTGTCATCTTATTTTCACTGTCTTATGTGCAAAACTATGAATCTCTGTAGTATATGCACTCCCCTGCTCTCATTGATTGGCGCTAGCTAGTGGAACAAATTGGAAAGTTCATTGTCACGAATCATGCGATATGGCTATTAGTTTTATAAAAAATTCGTAGTGCTTTCATTCTATGTATGGCACTAGGGGGTTGCTGACCTAAAATATCAAATTCTGTGTTTCTATTAGTTTTATAAAAAATTCGTAGTGCTTTCATTCTATGTATGGCACTAGGGGGTTGCTGACCTAAAATATCAAATTCTGTGTTTCTAATCAGCAGTGTTGTTTATCCTTTGCACGATTCAATGGCAGTAGGTCTTTTAGGCATTTAGGTCATTAATCTTTAATTGCTGTTCCGTTTATTTTTTAATGCATGGGTAAACATAATAAGGAATAAATTGCAAATTCTTGTTGTATTTGTACTACGTGCAAGTCAATTTTGTTTTCTGAAGAGAGAATGAGAATATGGCGTACTCCTTCATTTTTATGCTGATTACTCCTTGTTTTAAAGGAAATGCATGGTATTATGTGTATTATATTACATTTATTGATGATAAGAATTTTCATTAATTTGACATTTTGTTAGTTAAACCCATTGTATATATCATACCCTTTTCCATACATTTTGCAGGAAAAGGGTTCCAATGAAATTGTTTTCAAGGCTATGGGAAGGGCTATAAACAAGACTGTGACCATCGTGGAACTAATCAAGGTTTTCTGTAATAGTTTGAGTTGCTGATGCTGAACCACTTGATACTTTTGAGATTGGGCCTGATAGTGTTTCTGTTGATAAATGCAGAGGCGAATTGTAGGTCTTCATCAGAATACCTCAATTGGCTCCACGGACATCACTGATACATGGGAGCCCTTGGAGGAAGGCCTTCTTCCGTAAGATAATTTTAAACACTAGTCATGCGAAGATTATTCAATCTAGCCTCTTACTTTATAATACCATATTCATTATTTCAATGACATGAGTCTTTCAACATGTGGAAAATTTCTTGCTTTGAGCTTTGTTTCATAGAGTTATTTGATTGTTGTTACAGATTGGAAACAACAAGGCATGTCTCGATGATTGTGATAACACTTTCAAAGAAAGAATTAAATACATCTTCTGTGGGGTGAGTCCTTACTTGCTTTTAAGGTGTCTCATTTTAAATAAATTTGAGACTGATGAACTTATATGAAGATATTCTCATTTTATTTATTATCTGATGGTCTATGGCATTAAACATGAACAAGACCTTAAGTTCAATTTCTCTCTCAGATTCATTTATTATAATTTGTAAGATATGCAGGGTTTTGCTTACGTAGGGTCTGTGGATTGAATGATTATTACTAATAATTTAAAAAATTTCTGAAGACTTTATTTAAGATTCTTCAGATTTGTTAGTCTTCTACATCTCATAATTGTTAAATGCTTTTCGACAAATAAACAATTTTCTCACACGTAACTATTACCTCAGGTACCAGCCTCCACTTCCTGCTGAGCTGGTGAAAACTTACGACTACGAGGGAGGTACTGACATGTCTTATCATATTATTATTTTTATTATTGGACTTATTGTATTGCATATTCGACACTGTTGTTTTTGTATACTGCAGAAGGTTCACCTCATGATCAGGGTCCAGGACGAGGTAGAGAACGGGACCGTAATGGCAGAGGAAGAGCCCGGGGTAGAGGTGTGTAGCATTTGATTTCATTTATCAGTCTTTGTTTAGCCCTTTGTCATGTTATTGTGTATGGAAGATAATGGCTTTTATGGTTAGTGACAGACTTGCAGTGCCAAATATAGGAATTGGAATTTTGTAATTCGTTCAGTTTCTTGCATGAGGGAAAGTGAATATGCCCCCGTAACAGTTTGTTTTTATTGTTAAATTGTACTTGTTTTAGGACCCCCAGGCAATGGCTATGTGACAAATGAATATGATGATGGAGATTGGGACCGTAATAGGGGCGGAAATGTAAGAGGGAGGGGTCGAGGGAGGAGTGGTGGTAATTTCCGTGACCGTGGAAGAGGAGGATACAATGGTCCTCAGTATGATTTCCAGCAAGATGGAGGATACAACCAAGACTTACCAGCTCAAGGCCGTGGTATTTTCTTATTTCCTTTTCAGTATGGCTTATATTTAATTGATCTTTGATTGGGCTATTTAGCTGGGATATGCAGGGTTTGGTCAATACTTTTTGTATTGAATTAAAGCCGCAGAGGGTTTTATTCAGCCCTATATTTCAACTATTCCCTTTCCTTCGAGCTCGTGTTCACTTCGGAATTGTCTACATTTTCAGGGCGTGGACGTGGAAGGGGTGGTTTTCGTGGAAGGGGCCGTGGTTTCAGGACTAATGGAGGACCGATCCAAGCTGCCGCATGAGGTGGTTAAAGGTTAAAATCTTAATTATATGCAATATTATCATTAGGATTCTCTCTTCTTTTAGTTGGTAGTTGCAAGGGACAACTATATTATAACAGAGTAGGAATTTGACTTCTTTTATTTTTGGCCTTTGGATTGGTAGTTAGATGGAAGAAGTGTTTGAAAGAGCCGCCATGTGAGGGTGGCGACTCGTTTTCTTGTAGACTTAGGTGAGCTGCTGCTTTGACGTTTGTATTTTAGTATTTTTAAAAAAAGAAACTCTTGGCCGCCGGACACACTGTATCATTCTTTTATTTGAGTTCTTAGGATATTCTTGTCTTTCGCCTCTCTCCTCCTCTCCTTTTCGTTACTTGGTCACATTTTGAGTTCTCTGTTACAGTTTCTTTTTTCACCTCTGATAATATCCCGACCACGGCCACAAATGTCGTTCGCTGTTTTTTAATGTATTAATTTCAATGCACTCGTTTCTATCAATTTCTAAGTCTACTCTGTTTTTTAATGTAATTAAATAAATATTGTTTTTTTAATAAAAGAAATGTTTGGACCACTGGTGGACATGTGTATTTTGTTTGGTCTATTTTCGTGATATTGACTAGAATGGATGACAGGTGTGTTGATAATATTCCAAAGTGGGAATGCTCCACCCTAAACCTAACCCTTCTATTTCAAAAGTTTTGTTTGGTCTAGTTTCCATCTCTCATCTTATGATTTTTGTTCATAACTTAAAACAAGCATGAAGAGTCATATTCTAAATCTTTCAAATATTTTTCAATAAATGTTTTTTTTCTTCCTAAGAATCGTCTAACCCCATTACCATTATATTATTTAAGATGTTTTTAAGTTCAACTATCAAACATTCTCAGATGGAACAACCAATCACCAAACAACTTAGGCTCTTCCACCATATTTGGTCCTTTTTTTATATATAATTTCTACAATAATTGAATTAAAATCCATTTCTAATTCCCAACTTCTTATTTTACTTTTATTCACCCCATTTGATGTTGAAACGTTTGAACTTTTCCCCTCCTACCAATTCCGAACTTAACAAATCTAAACAAAATAAAATAAATTTATTCATTAAAAGTGGAATAATTTAAACATTCAAAAGCCAACCAAACCACACACACATATATATATATATATAAAAGAAGCAGTTGGATCTACCATTCCCAACTACCAATTTTATAATCGTGCAATAAACGGTCATAAACTTACATCAATATTGAATAAGTTGTGGATATTACAACTTAGTATTATTTTGGGCAATGTCAATGACGAATCGATATCGAACATCGTTCTTAGTGAGACGTTCCATAGCATGGTTGATGTCGTCCGGCCTTACCACCTCAATATCACTAGTGATGTTGTACTTCCCACACAAATCCATCATTTCCTGAGTTTCTTGTATTCCACCTATAATGCTTCCTTTCACCGTCCTTTTTCCTGCCAAGTTCAAAGTTAAACGAATATTTAGTAGAAGTAATCAACAAGTTGTATGAATATTTTTGAGGTAAAATTTGTGTTGTGCGTTTAGAGGTTTGGAATACCAAAGATTAAAGGGAAGGAGGGCAGTTGAATGGGCTTGTCTGGAGCCCCCACAATGGACAATGTCCCATTCACTTTTAGCAGTTCCAAGATTGGTCCAATACAATGCTGTGCCGACACTGTGTCCAACACAAAATCCAACGTCCTCTTGTGCCTCTGCAATCCAACAAAAAAGTAATAAGCCTATGGTTGTTCTTATCACATTTGAATTCACTTTTGATAATTATTTGATGGGGAAATTTTTTTTTTCTGCATATTATAAGTCACCTGCATCTGTTGAGGATCTTTACTGACTATGAACTCGTCGGCGCCAAGGCGTTCTTTAGCTTCTTTCTCCTTGGAAGCGGAGGTGCTGATGACAGTCACATGGTGGCCAAACGCCTTCCCAAATTTGACAGCTATGTGGCCAAGCCCACCAAGACCCACCACTCCCACCTTCTTCCTCGGTGAGTGGATCAGATCCATGTCTTTCATGGGCGTGAACACTGTAATCCCAGCGCACAGCAACGGCGCCGCAGCGTCCATCGGCAGGCTCTCCGGGATGTGCACCACGTACCTATATACATGTGTTCTTTTTCATTCAGATATTTTCACATACACCTTGCAGATTTTGCCCATATGTAAAAAAAAAAACTCACCTCTGATCTGAAACAAACATTTTGGAGTATCCGCCATAAGTTATGCTCCCATCCCAGAAGATTCCATTGTATGTAAACTGCAATTTTTCACAGTAATTCTCTTGTGAATCTTGGCAGAACTCACAGCTCAAACACGAAGCGGCTATACATCCCACTCCCACTCTGTCCCCTATTTTGAACTTCTTCACGTTGCTTCCCACCTTCGAAATCACACCTGTCATCTCGTGCCTGAAGAATAAGAACAAAGAGATCAAAATCTAAGTTAGTTTCATTTCTTTAAGACTTTGAATTACCATTCAACTCAAAAACTCGAGTGTAAGAGCTTGATGTATATCTTATAGTTAGTTTAAGATTTTAAAGTTGTTATCTAATGTTTCAAACATATATATAAAGTTAGAATGTAAATATTTTCTCCCTTACGAAATTTTCTAGGTCCACTCTTGATGGATGAAGAAATGACATTACTTATAATTAGATACTTAATTTTAAAGCTTAAACTAATGGTTTAGCATAAATTTAATGGATTGTTATATGATTGCAACTTCAAAGTAGCAGACAAGGTGTTTGAGCAAATGACAGACGAGAGGATATATTGCTTCGGTGAATTTAATCGTTTTAATTCATTGTATGGATGCAATTTCAAAGAAGTAGACAAAGTGTATGAGAAAATGACCGAGAAGAGAAACAGAGGCTGTTACAGTACCCGGGAACTACAGGATACATGGTGATGCCCCACTCGTTTTTGGCATAGTGAAGATCGGTATGGCATATTCCACAGTACAAAATCTCTATCGTCACGTCGTCTGGACCATTCTCTCTGCAGAAACCAGTAGCGGTTACCGTCGTCCCTTCCCATCAGATCGCCGGAAAAAAAAAAACAAAAACAAAAACAAAAACAGAGACAAGAAAAGGAGAAGGCTCTGTGTTACGCACCTGCGTTTGAAAGTGTACGGTGTGATCTTGCCGGAAGAATCGTGAGCTGCCCAACCGGAGACCGTCTGTGTGTGATTCGGCGTCGTTTGCGCCATTGACAGTGAACAAGAGAGAGAGATAGAGAGAAAAAATTGTTGTGTGGACAGACTAAACGATCCTTCCTTTTATAGGCGTCCAATCAGAACAACCGGGAAATTTGTTAGAAATGAAGTGAAACTTACTTATTTTTAAATCTAATTATTTACTTACTATAAGATTAAAATATCCAAATTATAAAAATAAAAATATTTTGAATTAAATTAAAATAAACATACACATCACAATGTTTTACTAAATAAATAAATATGTTTTCTAATAAGTTAATATTTTTATTATTAATATAATATTTGCATTAATTAAACTAGTAAACTAATTTTAAATTATAAATATGTGAAGATATGGGCATGCATTTATTAAAGAATATAATAATATTAATTTAAAAATGGTGAAGCTTCCTACTCTTTTTGTTAGGTTGAAATATTCATCAAATAATGTGTGGTATGGATGTTGACTGTACACTTAGTTCACATGTGAACACTGCGTTCAACAAATTTCAAGATATCCTTTTCTTTAATAAAATTCAAATATATCTTCTAATATATATATATAAATAAATAAAATATTCCACTCTAATTTTTATGAAATAATAATTCAAGCGGGGACCAAAATTGGTTGGGGTGTTTCCCTTGAAATAGGGAGTTAATTATTTCGAATTCAATCAAAATATATAAGATTGGTAAATAAGGAATATGTTATTGATGAGTTTAAATATTAATTTAAAAGAACTGGTTAGTCGGGGTATTTTAGTCATTTCGTATCTAATAAAAACAGGCACGACCTTCGAGTACACATAAAAAATAAAGGGTCTCTTAAATAAATTGTTGTGTATTTGCCAGAAATTGGGAGGCAACGGGTACAGAGGTCAATTCACATTTGACAAGATATGAATGGATCGGAATTTTCTAACAAATTTCATTCGTTATTTCGCTAAATATTAAAATATATATATATATATATTATTATTTTCAAAACTTTATGCTGTCTTTTGGTCGTTTTTTAAAGTGTTATTACTCTTTTTATATATATATATATATATATTCAAATCCTACTCAAAACTAATCCATTTTTTGACTTTTCATAGGGGCCTATGACCCGACCAAATTCTTCTTAATTGTGAATTGTTTTCGAGATCTATTTTCGATTATATAATTGTTAAAGATATTTAGTAATAAATTATAGTTTACCATATATATTATATTTGATATTTTATTATAAGGCAAATATCTAACCTTTGCCTTATTACTATAGATATCTTTCCATTTATTGTTATTTCCATTTATTACTATTTCCATATCCTTGTAATTTATTTGATTATAAATAAGATAACTTTCACACCATTTAGGTGTGGTGGATTAATCAAACATTCACCATAATAAATAATAAATTGTGTTTCTCTTCGGATCAAATTAAAAATTAAAAATTTTAAAAATTATATATTATATATTATTTTATTTTTAGGTGGATTTCATTCAACTCAAGGCATTATCAATATTTACAACAAAATTTCGAATGAAAAAAATATATATATAAAACACATGCATTAAATTTTGTTACCCCATTGTTTGAAGATTTACTTTTTTATATATTTTATTATGATTAGAAAAAAATTAAAACAAAAAATTTGTGTTAGAAAATTTTATTATTATATAAAAATGATATTAAATCCAAGAATCTTATAACTAAAATGAATATTCTCATATTTTTTTAAAAAATAAATAAAGATTTATAATTTAATATAAATTAAAAATAAACATCTAATTTCAAAATATCATTGAGACTATTTAGTTGTTAGGTTTATTGAGCAATAAATTACATAAAAAAAATTGAAATTGAGATTAAAAACAAAATCTACAATATAATTTACATTTTAAAAATATAAAACTAAATACATTTACCTTAAAAAAAATTAGTAAGATATAGATTTTTTTTTTCTTACGCATTTGAGAGTTATCTTATTTTAAAAAATAATAAATAATTTATTTATAATTATTATATATATAGAAAAACGGTTATATAATAAAGTACTCAAATGTATGACGTAATAAAATATAACATAAAATTAAAATTTGATTTATGTAAAACAATATTGACAGGTATATTGTTTTTCTTTTCTTTTTTAACCTAATCAATCAAACCAATAATTTTTGTTATGACAGTAATAAAGCTGTGCTCAAACATTCAAATGATTGGTCTAATTGATTTCATCTGCGATAATAACTCTGAATTCGGGTGGAAGAATCATTTGTCGGGTGCAGTCGTTCGATGTGAGTCAGAATTGATCTCACCAGTCAGCCAGTCTCCACCGTCGTTGCGACGAGGAAGCAGACTTGAAATTGCAGAAAACATTATTAATTTCTTTAATATTTTTAGTATAATAGTCCTAAAAAAAAAATATATATATATATATATATATATATATTTGGGAATTATGTTACGAATGTTGAAGATTATGGTTAATGTTAAAATTTAGATAATATTTTAAAATTTGAAATATGATTTATTTATAATCTAAAATTTTAAATAATAAGTTATAAATTCTATTAACATTTAAAACTGTGATTAATGATTTAATTTATAAGTACAAAAATTATTTAAAATATAATTTGACCAAATTTATGATAAATATCTAATTATATAAGTAAAAATATTTTTAGTATTATATGATAAAATTATATATAATAAATTAATATTTTGGATGTAGTTCCGAGTTTACCCAACTATGACTTAACGAGAGTTGAGACAACCTTGTCTTCTCTTCGGGTGTGCTTCATCTCATATATATGCCCGCTTCGTAATTATTCCATTCCTGGATTGGACAGTAAACAAGAGAAAGCATATGAAATGAATTTACTCGACTGTAGTAAACATGAAAGATTCATTCGACTCAACCAACCTTTAATGAGACTGAACAGTAAGGAAAGAAAAAAGATAGTGAAACTGGAACCTTTATCAATCTTCTTCACTTGAATCGGAACTCTACCATTTGTTATTGCACGAATAAATCGAATCCCGTACTTTTAATCAAAGTTTGGACCTAACAAATATGATTAAACTTTAAACAATTTAATCCGACTCAATTTTTTACGACCAGACATAAAATAGATTAAAAAAACAAATCAAACATATATCTTAAAATATTTATATTAACTATAAAATATTTTGAAATTATAAATTTAATATAAATTATAACGTTAAAATATAGACTCAATTTTTCCTTCACCTCATTTAAGAATCATGTTATTAAAAAAAACAATAAATAATTTTTTATAATTATATATATATATAGAAAAACTGTTATATCATAAATTATTATTGATATGATAAAATATAATATAAAATTAAATAAATTAAATAAATACAAAATTAAAATTTTATTTATGTAAAACAACATTTACATGTATATTGTTAATTTTTTGTTGTGATAGGAATAGTTGTTACTCAAACATTGTAATAATATAATTAATTAAGAAAATTTAATTTGAAAATGTAGAATATTTGTAATTGATGATAATACAATTAAATTTCAGTTAAAAAACTATTTTGTTATTTAGTTGATTTTAAATAAAATCTGAAAATATAAATATAATAGGTTGGGCGAACTGGGGGACGGGAGAGCAGAGCCGACGCGTGATTTGATCGGGCTAGATCTATTCAAACCCTAATTTTATTGTTTTGTTTTTGTTTTTGTTGAAATCATGTTTTTCGAGTTGATTTTTCAATTGATCATCTGTTCAAGTTTTTCTTCTTACCAATCTCGTATCGTTTCGATCTAGCGGTAAGTTTTGGGTCGGAATGGCGACGGTTAATCACCGTTCGCCTAGTCCAACTAGTTTCAAGGGCGATAATACCTACGAGTTCCCGCCGAAAAATCATCTGTGTGCTTGGGCTGCAGTCGTCCGAGGCGAGCCGGAATTGATCTCTCAGTCTCCTTTATCTTCGTCATCATCTTCCTCTACAGTTTCTGCTCCAGAAACACCAGAAACCCCAGCTCCTGCTCCGACGTCTGATTTCTTTGCATCTTCCGAAGAGGGTGGTCCTGTAATGGGGGCAGACTCTTGGCCCGATCTTGCAGAGTCCGCGAAGGCTTCTCCTAAATTAGCAGTTGATTCTCCTTCTAAGTCTGTTTTTAGAAGTATCAGTCCTCCCTTCTTGTGCATGATGTAGTTTATCTTGTGTTTTTTGAGCAGGGACCTACCATTGTACCCCCTCAGCGGCAAGCTACAAATAATGCCAAATCGGACCCCAGTCTGAAACATCCAGTTGTTGCTCGACAAAGATCCTCGAGGCGGTCCGGAGGTGGTGGCAGCTCAATGGGAGGGCCTGCACGAGGCTTTTATCGCCCTCCACCGCCACCGCCACCGCCACCGCCACCACCTTTTCCTGTGTTTCAAATTCCTTGTAGTATGATGCCGGCAATTCCTGATCCTTCTCATGGAGAACCATTATTCAGGAGCAATAATCGGCATCCACGGGCTATTGCAGGCTTTGTACCTCAGACAAATTTTGTTTCTGATTACCCAAACTGCTTTCCTAGGGGGAATTTAGCTCTCCATCCTCGTGGTAATGGTCACTACCAAAACAATCGTGGGGGAAAGCAGCGTGATCAAGATCGTGGAGTATATTCTAATGCTCGAGATGCTCACTTTCGGCAGCACAGGCCCCCTACTAGAGGCTTTATGCGCCCTACGCCACCTTGCACTGCTCAGTTTCCCCAGCCTGTTATACCTTATGGGAATCCGATGCCTCCTCCTGGTGGGTGTCTTTCTAAGGACTAATGATGACAGTAGGTCTATAATTTTCCAATCTGAATGTTAATTTGCATCCGTGTTTTGATCAGAGTTTGTCTATGTCCCTACATGGCCCTTAGAGACTTACAGAGGAATGCCTTTCATGCCACCGCCTTCAGTGTACTATTCTGCTGTTGATCCCACTCTATCTGCATCACTAGTTAATCAGATTGAATATTATTTCAGGTAATGTGGTTTCCCATGCGATCCATTTGGTTCTTGTGTTTCTCATTTTTCATGGTTAATGATTATAACTGTACCTTCATGTCCATGCTGTTTGCAGTGACACGAATTTGATAACGGATGGATATCTAAGGTGCCAGATGGATGATCAAGGCTGGGTTCCAATTTCTCTGATAGCCGGTTTTTCTATGGTAAGTTCTTATAATAAGTCGCCAGTTCTTTATGAAAATAAAGAAAGTTAAATATATAGGTTTTAGAGCGGTCGTGAATTTTATTCATAAATAAATTGCTTATTGGGAAGTGCATGAGTTTATTTTTATCATATAGCGTGCTCTATCTAATGTTAGTTTATTTCTAACTTTTTACTATATGAAAAACAAAAGAAAAGAGCTCCCTCAAGTGAGTCATATTTCAGACAATCTTCTTTTTGAACTATCCTTTGTCTTTTTCTCGGAAAAGTAGCACTATTCTTCATTTGATCCAATCCTTGAGGATAACTGTTAGAATCGTGATTGGGTTGAAGTCTTTTAGCCCCCCTTGTGAAGCAAGTTGGCTGTTCACCTCACATTCTTTACTCTCCATACTTGAAACCAAGTTGCCTTTTAATCCAAATTTTTTATTAATTCGAGAGTTATCCACTCGACAAAAGGACCCTACTTTTCCTTCACATGGTGATGATTCTGATGCTAAATCCAACGTTAGTAGGAACATTGTGGAATCGATTACAAAACTTAACTAGGAGGACGTTGTTTTTGAAGATTCTTGTTTTGAAGCTTTTAGTTCATTATTTCGAAAAGGTGACTGATACTTTTCTTCAATATCTGCTAAATTCACTTTTTTTACTGAAACTTGTGGGTTTGAGATGCGTGAAATTCCCCACTGATTCAAGAAAGGAACTATATTCACTTAGCTCTCATCCTCAACAATTCTTGGTGTTGTAGACTAAAATGAAGACAACTTTTTTTAGTTGGTTAATTGAAGACAACTCGAACAAAATATATTGAAGACAACTCAAACAAACCATCCTTCCTTTAATTGGTTTAAAATACCACAGTTTTTTTAACTAGTTGATTACATAGTTTGGGTAGTTTGGGAATGAAAATCTCAAGATGGGTATGTTGCTAGTTGGACTGATCTTTTCGGAGTTTTGAGGCGTTTAGTTGGTTTAAAATACCACAGTTTTTTTAACCAGTTGATTACATAGTTTGAGTAGTTTGGGAATTAAAATCTCAAGATGGGCATGTTGCTAGTTGGACTAATCTTTTCGGAGTTTTGAGGCTTTTAGTTGTCTTAGTTCTTCTTGTATACTCGGTACATAATTTCTCATATTTATATATTATTTCTTTCTAAATATTCAAGTCTATATTCGATTTATACTTTGTCATATGTATTTGTATAGTTCAATATTAACAACATATATCCATAATGTTTTCGTCGCACTCATGGCCTTTTTCTTTACCTGGAGCCGACATTTCCTTACTAGTTATGTCATTCAAACAGATTTATCAACAACAAGAGTATGTTAAAGGAAGACTACCTTTTTGCTAGAGAGAGGTGTTTAGTGTTAAAATTTGGTTTCTTGATCTTGTTTGTGCTCAAATGAGCGAAAACAAAGAGATTGTCGTACTAAAATTTTGTCATTGATCATCATGATGTCTTATCCTCCCTCTCAAAGCTCTACCTTTGTTCATTTTTTTCTGGGTGGAGTGCGGACATTTGGTTGTGACCAAGGTTTTATTTGAGCAAATCTGTAATGTTGGGTTGCATGACCAATTTGTATATCCCTTGAAGCTGTTCATCACTTTATCTTTTGCCCTACAAATTTTTTATCTCTCCCATCTTCGTAGACATAATTTTCTTATATTTTCAGGGGAAAAAAGGTTTCATTACAACTTTTAATGTACTCTGCTAATTAAAGTGTTTTTCCTCGTCCAGTTGTGTATGTATGCTGGTTGTCACTTGTCTATGCATTAATGAGTTTCTATATGGGTAGTATGTGTTTTCTGCTCAAGTTAATTTTGAATGTTTATTTTAATAATACTGGTCTTGTTATGATAATTTTTTCCCTGACTAGTTTTCTTGCACAGCTTGTTCGACTAAAGCAATAGCTTGTAAATGACTTGTTACTGAAACCAGTGTTATTAAAATAAACATTTAAATGTTTGCTTTACTTCAAAATTACTACCTATGAATGAAAACACTACTGTGGTTGATTGTTGCGTTACTTTTGCTTTTGCAGGTAAAGAATTTGACGACCAATATTCAATGGATAATAGAATCCTTGAGAACGTCGACTGTATTGGAAGTGCAGGTTTGTTTTCCAGATCTATCAATGAGATTAAACCTATCCAATAATACCACCATCCAACGTATTTTTCGGTTCAGTTGTGAAGTACAATATTACTTGTCTGATGACTGACCCGAACGTGAAATCTAGAAGTAATCCCATCTTTTGTGAAATTACTGGTTTGTGGGTATAGATATATACCTTTATAGGAAGCAGGAGAGGAGCAGAGTTTCGCTCAAGTTGTCCTGCTGGCCTAATTCTTCTGCCTGATGTTGTTGCAGGATAATAGGATCAGAAAGCGAAATGAGTGGAAGAAATGGATAATAAATTCCAATCAGCTTAGAACTGATTTGACCTCTTCTACTCCAAGTGGATCAGATCATGATAGTCTGGCAACTTCTTTTCAAGGAGTCAGAGTGGATGAAGGTATAAACCAAAGTACGCCAAGCGACACGGATCCTCGTAATACCGAGAGTACTACCAAGATACAATCTTCTGAGTCAGCTGATTCTTCACAACTTACTAATGGGGAGGTGAATCAGGATGTTCAGACTGATATCTGATTAATTTTTTCTCCCGGAGGTTTTAGCACTTGCTTATTAGGATCATATACGTCTACTTACATGGTTTTGGCAGTTTAAAAGAGGCTAGTTTTTGGGGGTACGAAGAGTATTTATTTATTATTCCAAATATAAGAAGAAAAGAAGTATAGGTTGGAAGCTCTAATCTTTGAGGTTATCATTTAGTTTTCTGGTGCTTTCTGAGTGACATTAGTGACTCTTGGTATATAACATTCATTGAACTAGTTCCTGAATCATCGGTGACCATTTTTTGGAGGGAATGTCCCTTGAATTTTAATGCTTGCAAATTTTGGTTGATTTTGCTAACGATATCTGCGATTTGTTCTTCTCTAGCTTGTATTGTAGAATCAAACCTTTTTTGTTATGTTTGTTCTCCTGTGTTGTTTCGTATTTGTTTGATTATATTCAAAATTGAGATGAAGTTTTGAATAATATTGATTCCATTTCTGTTTCCTGCAAGTTTGTCTTGTAGTTTTGGCGATCGTGGTCAGAATGATTGAATTGTTTTACATGATGGATTTTTTAGGCTTATCATTAGGATGTGTACTCTCTGATTGTGACAGATGATCTTTGTCTGATATATGATATTTGAAATCAATCTGTATTATTTCATGAAAGTTTTTATTCTTAATCCAAACAAGATTAAGAACCTGATGAAAAATTGACACTTTGATGTAATCTTTTCATTCAAGTTTGATTGCTTTAACATACAGTTTGATCACTTCTAAGAGCTTTAAATCTTATTGACTATTGAGGGAGTTTCATCTCAAAATTTTTATGCAATAGTTGTGTTGTCTCGTTTTTCTGAATTTTGCTCTAACAAACGCGTTGTAGTTATTGAGTAATCTAGAGTGATCGTGTTCATATTGATTCTTATTGAGTGATCTAGAGCGATCATGTTCATATTGATTCTTATTGAATAATCTAGAGCGATCATGTTCATACTGATTTTTATTGAGGATCACATGTTCATATTGATTCTGATCTAGTGGCTCTTTTAACTTTTCAAGAATAGGCTCTCAAATTCACTTCTGCCATTTCGTTCCATTAGTTCACCAATTTCTCGGTTTATTGTCTCATTTTATACTGTTTTGCACCAGCAAACAAGTTGAAGAAATTCAGTGCCAGTTGAAACCAATTAGGAAACCCCGAAACTAAAACATTTTCACAACTCCTCACTCAAGTTCAAGTTCAAAGAGGAAAAGTGAAAAAACTAACTAACCAGTTCGATTAAGTTTGCAAATTCTACATGCCTCTTGCAGTATTCAATGACCTGGTGGTTATCGTTGATCATAATCCCTAATTATCTATTAAATATTCAAATATCCTTGAATAATATGAAGCATTGAACTAATCAAGTTAATTATAGACATCTTTTAGATGCGAAATCAAAGGCTCATTGTACATTCTAGAGTGAAACGGGACAGTGGGATTTCATATCATCTTCGCAAACCATAATTTCTTTGTACATCAAATAGAACAAACAACTCCATTTACAAAACAATCAATACGGAATCACAACTGACATCAAGTTATTAAAGCTCAAGGCCTTGAGAGAGAGAGAGAGAGAGAGAGCGATGAACATGTTAAAGTGAAAAAAAAAAAAAAAAAAAAAAACTCAATTATTTGGAGATGTAAACAGAGAAAATATCATGATGAACAACAAGTCATTCCATGAAGCCACATTCCTAAAAAAAAAAACGCTGGAGTCAGTGAGCGCTCACAAGGAACGGATGCTGGCAAACCCCACACTCGATCGTCTCAGAACCCGAGCTTGGAACCTGGACCTGCAATATTCATATAATACATACATCAACCCAAAAATTTAACTCCTCTCAAGTTCCGGTATGTTGTCATTATTATACTTCATAAGATGCTTCACATCAATAATTTCCTTACACATACATTTGTTTTTATATGACGCCTTAAAGGAATGTCTTGGCAATCAGAATGTCCAAGACAATTAAATTACTTAATTGGTAATCATAAACAAAAAAAGGAAAAAAAAAAAATGATGATGATGATGATCCAAGGATCAAACCTGTAAATGAACAGTACAAGTAGGACATGCAACTTCCTTCATCCGTTTCCCAGATCCGTCAGATTTGGATGCTGTGGCATTCCCTGAAAGTGACAGAAACATCAATGCTACTCTCCTAAATAAGAATATGAACATTCCACAATAACGACCCTAAAATTTGAAGCTCTCGCATCCAAAGTGGATGGAGGTTGCAAAACCAGATGCTTCAATCGGTGTATTAATAGAGGAGCAAGAAATTACCTGATGACCAACGGTTTCTCTCCATTTCATCCTACAATATCAGAAAAAATAAAATTAAAATTAGACTGAATCTCTCACAAGGCTTGAGCACGATATGCAGAGAGGCAAGTTACAGAACATTACCTTAAGTTTTTTGGCAAGATCCTCATGACTATGCAATCCTGCAGGCTTACTAGCCAGCTCCTTGGCATTAGTGAGCCTATGAGTCACTTCTGCCTGCAGACATAGAAGAAAAGACATGTTAATTGATCGCAGGCTAATGCAATACATAAACACAGCAGTAGAGACACGTTCCATACCACAGCCATCTACCCTAAGATTAAAAAAAAAAGAATAATAATGTCAAATAAATCGAAGTTATACATAACATACCATGCATCTGTCACAGACACGAACTGGAGGAGCATTCTCTTCAGCCGTCAGAGCTGTTCTACCTTGCGTGCATTTATCGCAGAAAATGTCTCCACAATTTCTGCAGTGATGCTGAGAAAAAAAAAAAAAAAAAAGGTTGAAACAATGAGATTCGTAAAAAAAGAAAAAAAAAATCTTATGAACCGCGTTCCATTATTTATAGAAAACAAATTTACCCTTCGTACAAAAGCCCCAAAGTCTGTTCCACAGGCTGTACATTTTGTGACTGCTTCATCAGGTACCTAAAACGGAAAAAGAAAAATTGCAAATGCATAAATCCCCGGACAATCTTGCAATCAACAAGCTGACAATTAATGATAGCTCCGTCAAGATACCCAATGGTCTTTCTCCTCGTTGCCTGGCTTCATCAGAGTCACCCAATCAACCAACCCTTTCTTCTTCTCTGCAGGCTGTTCAGGTGCCTTAAAAGATTCAGAAGGCCTACTTCTTCCACCCATTTCCTTAAACTGTGATTTTGAAAGAAAGAACAAACCAATAAAAGAATCATATCAAGTTAACTACCAACATAAAAAATAACTGGGGAAGAACGTACAGAAAAGAGTTCCCAATCTCCATAAAAAAGTGTCAACATTATCATGCATGGAGTATCTACGATAGGTACTGATCAGTGTGTATCTATGGAATGTGTACACTTACGGGCATTAAACATAAACTAGAACACTCATCGACCACAACATAATAAGTAATAACTACTCGCAACTAGATTTATACAACAAAGGGGTATGACAAAGTCAGTTCTTTACTGTGCAATAATGTCTTGAAATCACAAATGGCATAGTTAGCAGGGGTAGGAATTCTAAAGACAAAGCTTCTAATGTAAATGATCAAGTGTTTATTTTGAAATCACCAAGGGGATTAAAAAACACAAATAAAGGAAAACAATAAATAAACTTCAAATCATTTTCTGCACTTAAAAACCAGAGGGAAATGGGAAAGGATTATTGCCTGTACAGTTGCAGCAGTCACCGTGTCCAGAAGTGTGTTGGTAGTGTACTTGTTTGACTGCAATCTAATACGCCGTGGCTCAATATCCACAGAGCTCTTCGACCAGAAAGCCAAGGTAGATGAATCATATATCTTAAAAAATATATAAAAAAAATCCATATGGTAAGTCCATGGCAGATAAATCCAAGGAAACAACAACAACAACAAAAAAAAAAAAAAAAAAAATCCATTATCTCAACTTACTTCACATCTAGTGATGGTCTCAAGAGGATATATCCTTAATGTACGACTAGAATTTGGATCAAGCATACGAATACCATCCAGACCAACCTGGAAATGATTACAAAAAAGAGTAAATAACCGAGGCCAACTTTGTGCTCAAACAACTTATGACAATTACATTAGTCGAAGCAAATAAAACATATACAGATAAAAAAACGATAATAATGAGAAGGTAAAACAATGACTAAAAAACTCCAACGGGCAAGCATAAAAAACACACCAAGTGAACAGGATTTAGATTAGAGTTACAATAATTGAATAAAAACGCAGTTGAAATAAATTAGTTCACAATTCAAGTTCTACGCAAACCTTGATTCTAAAGGGAACATAACCAAAAAAAAAAAAAAAAAAATGCAGAAGGTAAAATAGTGGTTAAAAACTCCAACGCACAGGCACAAGGATCATACTAAGAATAATTGAACAAATACAAAGGTCACCTTGAGCATATGAATAAGTACACACTTGAAGTTCAACTCAAACTCAAAGCTTGATTCAGTTTGGTAGCCATCAATGTTCACTTAAAGGTAAATTAACACATACTCAGACTTCGATAAGCGTAAATCTTTGACTTCCAACATAACTTGGCACAAGTTAAATAATCTGCCTACTACTGTAATAATAGTACAAACACCAAAGCAAAATATTACAAGCGTGAAAACCCTTCTAAGACTCACATGAAACCAAAAACTCACCAGACGATTTTCATGGCTTTTAGCCTTCATGATTCGATTTTTACAACTATATTCCGCAGTTTGCCTGAAGATTTTTTTGTCCCTTGAGATGAGAAAGAAATACCAAAATAGACAAGGCACAATTTTGACAATCAAATCCTACAGGGTTTGCCACTAACGTACGGTCGTACAGAACTAAAAACGAAAAAAAAAGGCAGCAATACTAGATAATTGGATAAAAATGATGAAATCTACGATAAAATGTTGTCCTGCGACTGCATTGACATACCTGACAAAGTACATCCATGGTGCTCTGACCTCCACTTTCAGCCAAGAGCTTCACTCGGAACTTCTGCACCCAATTTTTGACGTCTTCTTGAGCTTCCACCTTAGGGATCGCCCTAACTACTTTCAGTGAACTCGTCGGTGGGTCTTTCTTCGAAGGAATATTTATCGGCCTCCCATAATCATCAAAAGCAGGCCCTGTTGACCACGTCGAAGACTTAGGAGCTGTACCGCGAGCCCCGTAAGGCTCAACTTTGCCACCTTGGTAAGCATATACGCCTTCGCCAAAACCGTCATCGTAGCCAGAGTCGAAGCGCGATGCCGCATCCTCCGGCCGCTTACCGTACAAGTCCGGACCCAAATCAGACCGACTTCGACCATAACCTCCATATCTATCATCAGCGTATCCGCCACCCTGATCAAATTTCACCGAACTTTCATATGGGTTTTCATACGAAGGCTGGGCCAAAGAGCCAAAAGGAGCCGAATAAACGGATGAGAAATGAGAATTAGGACTGGGGGTAGAATTAGAGCCCTGATTCGAGGGAATTGAGGACGGTGGAGGGGGAGCATAATTGGGAGCCGTTTGATGGTGATCGTACGTTGAATTATACGATTGCGGCTGAGAAGGAGATTGATAAGGCACATGAGACTCAAATGGAGGGAAAGCAGGTGGTTGCGAAGTGGGATTGAATGTCTGGAGATTAGGATTCGATGACTGAGGGTTGTAAAGAGGCGCAGTCGGAGAGGCAGGGACGGGATCGGGATTCTGGGAGTAGGGGGGATAATTGGGGGCATAACCAGGGTAATCGGAACCGCCGTAATTGGTGGAGAAGGGCGGCGCCGAGGCGTAAGCGCTCTGGTTACGATCCGGGGGAGGGGAAACTGGATTAGGGCTTGGATTAAGGCTAAGGTTTTGAAGATTTGGGTATTGAAAATATGGAGGTGTACCGTAATCTCCGTTCTGCATCGCTGATCCCGATGAGAAATTGGGTGTTCCGACGGTAGCTTGAATCGAGAGATTTGGATTCCGCGTTTCTCACCCTCCGGAGCTTTCTTTTCAACGTTAAAAAGAAGACGACTCTCAGAAGAGATTAGGAATTTATTTATTTATTATTTTAATGAGTTTGTTATTTTGTTTTTTTTGTTATTTGTTATTTTAAATCATTGTTCTCTTTTCGAGGAAGGATGGGAAAACATTTGCATTTATAACCAAAGCCCACACGCGCCTTCCCCTTCGCCACGTCATGTGATCTTTGTTACTAAATTAATGAATTTATAGGTCCTTCCAAATAAATAGTTCAAGCTATAGTATAATCGAGCAGTAGTTTAATTTTACAAATGATATTGTTTTAATGGGTTTTATGATAACTGTCTTTTTTTTTATTAATTAGTATATTATACCAATAATAAAAAAAACTTATGCTAACGGCTTAGACCAATTTGACAGTTGAATACGTGGGGAGGAGAGGAAATTAATTACAATTTATGCTTTTGGATTACTCTCCAAATTATTTTTTCTTCCTATTGCAAATTAATTTTGAAGTAAAATATGGATACTGGAAAAATGAATGGAATTAATTTATCAAGACCCAATTTTGTTGCACTTTAATTAACTAATTTTTTTAGATTTGAAATTAGAGTTGGGATTATTTTGGTAACTTTTTGTAGGGTGTGTGTATATTTGAATATTTTTTATAAATACCAAAGCATATATCTGGTGGGATGTTAAAATTTATCTAAATTTTGACCTTACAAAAAATTGCGAGTAATTTTGTAACAGTTTATGAACTACAGAAAAATTGTAATGAGAAGGATCCCACACAAGCTGTTTGCAATTGTTTGTACGAGGAAACAGGAGGCACATTCGGAAAAAAAGAGAATCCAATATTTCCAACACAAACTCCCCTTTTCCTTCCAATTACGTTAGAAACAATGATTAACAAGAGGCTATAAACACACAAAATTTCCTTCTTAATTACAAGCTGCTATATCAGCAGACCAAACCTGGAACAAATGGATGGCTTGGCCACCGCGAACATTTCAAACTTTTGTGATGAAATCAAACCTTGATAGAGTCATATCTTTCACCCATCACACCACCTTTCTGTTTCTGGAACTGAATGTACCGAAGTGTGCTGGTAAAGAAAGCATCTGACGGAGGATTGGCGCTCGGGGTGTCGGTCAGCAATTCAGTTCTTATTAATTCAATCAACCCTTGAATTGCAGCATTTGTAATCTGCTGGTTTCCTTTCTCGAAATAGTGCAGGTACCTGAATCATATACATGTATTTATCCATGATAGCGAAACAAAACTATTCATATCAAAATTGTTCACAAAATGGGGAGGGCGGGATTACAAATGAGAAAAACAAGCCTTCCTTCTGCGAAGATAATAATTTACAACTTTGATCATCAAATTTAATTTTAGAATGCTCATTTAATTTCAACTAACAGTTTGAGCCACTATAAAATAATTTACATATGGGCTACTTTACTGGTGGTATTATTGAAAGCGTTCTTTTAAAAGGAAAGATATATGAATGATGGACAAGATCAGCCGTTAGCATTCCAGTCAAGAGAAAGAATTCTTTTTGACATTTCAAGTTTTTTCAATTATGATAAAGGTGTGTTAAGATTTTAAAATACTAACTTGTTCAGTATTTCAACAAAAAGTGTGATGGGTCCACCGCTACCCCGTGTAACATTAGCCATCTGTTGAGCAGCATTTGCAATTCTTAAGGCACGCTTCAGGCAAAGAAGAACTCTGTTCACGAGAAAGAAAGAGAGGAAAAAAAAAAAAAAAAAAATGTTATTTCTTCTAAGAAAACCGAACAATCTGAGAGTCAAGCATGCCAAACAATACTATCAAGCATGAGGGAAGAACCTCTCTCCATCCTTAATGCCTTCTGGATCATCAACCCAAAAGAGATGTGAGCATGCATAAACAGCCTTACACTGATCAGGTTTCTTTAGGAGCTTTGCAGAGTACTGGTAAAAGCAAAATAACAGTTCAGGATCTAGACCATGAAATTTGTGTGTAAGATGTAGTGCAGTAGCATCGAGATTAAGTAATGTAAATGCATTTTTTACCCCAGTAGCTTTGTGTGTCAAAGTATCTCTGTTTTCAATGCCAAACACATTCATCTTCTGGAGAGTCCCAATAATGAGATGTATTGCAGTCACTTGAGCCTTAGAATCCTAAATAAAAAATAAATTATGCAACAGACACAAAGAAATGGAAGCGAACTAAATCAAACTTTTGTTGTCAGAAGGGGAAGAAATCAAGCAAACTGCATTTTATTGCTAGTACTGAAGTGAAAGTAAGAAGAATTTTTCTATAAAGCCCGATTAGATAAACAGCTCTTATTTGCTAAATTTATAAATTTAAAAGACATAGAATATTGATATTTACCGCAATATCCTCTTCATAGATTATAAATGCTTGAGTAAAAAACTCGTATGCAACAGGCTCAAGATCACAGTCATTAGCTGCCTGAACAATAGAATGAATAGAAGTTAGAAGAGAACTCTGACATCTAGAAAGATAAGATCAGATCATTAGAATAATATGATTTGGTGTAGTATACCACCGGAATGATATGATTCGGGTAGTAAATCTATGAAAACAAAGTACAGACTAGAATGAGTCTGGTGTAAAGCAGGAACCAAGAAAACTGTGGCAGAATTCTTTTTCCTAATTCAGCAGTAAGTATAATGTCTCACCATGGATGAAATTTTTCCTACCAAAAGAACAGTTTCTGATGCGCCATTTGCTAATCAAGATTGGAAACACAAAAATAAAAACCTCGTCCTCACTCCTATCATAGATTTTTCTTCGTTAGATTCATGATTTCTCTACCGCAAATCTCAACCCCAAATAAGAAGAAAGTGATATTCCTTCTCATTCCCTTGTTCTCAGGCCTCTACTACAATTTTTTTTTATCAATTCTTTTCTCTTTACTTTCGTAGCATTTTCTACCTTGACTTAAATTGATTCTCATTCTTAATACCGTCAAGCGATATCTATGGTAATTTATATACTGAGAGAGATCGATATTTCAGATCATTGACTTTCGTACCTCAGCACATTCCATGTATAACCTCAATGCCAGTTCAGGAGCTGGAACAGAGGAAAGAGCCTCAATAAGCTGGAACCAAAAATGGAGGCACCACAAGTTATTTCTGAAGCAGGCAAGAAATTTCAGAAAATAATAGAATATAACTTAATTGAATCTTGACAATTAAAATTGACTTATTCAACAGATAGCGTTCAGATGAAGACCACACAACCAGTAACTTTCCAGTGATAAATCCATACCATTTCCATTTGAACCAGAAAAATAGAACAACAAAGGTATTTCATAACAGTTCCTACTAAGCAGCTTAGTAGACTGAACTTCTCTGGCTATGTATGAACTAAGCTTTAACAATCTCATAGTCCATAGCTACTCTATTACTGCCAAGAAGTATTCTCGAGTTCTCCATAGAACTTTTGGATTTTCTCAATTGAGCCAAAGTGTATGTAGGTCTATGTGCTAATGAATGAGGCATAAATATAATTTATAAATTAAATGAGGTTAGACAGATTAACTATTGTCTGGTGATATTGAATTGCAGTGTTGCACTATCTAACATTTGAACACGTGTAGTATAATCCTCCAGACAAATTAAAAGCCTTAGTAGAGATATCTGTACCCCAGACGTACATCGATGAATCTTAATTACCTGATTTAAAAGCTGAAATATTTTCTTTGGTGTAGCATGCATTTCTTCTACCACATCCCCAGCTTCGCTTTGCTCTTCTCCCACAACATCCCTATCTTGATTTTGCAACCGTCTAATTAACTGCAAACATGGGAGAATATTATATACAGGTATCTCATATTCACACTGGTAAATATAATTACTTCAAATGAAATTCTAGAATGAGAAAAAGCATTAGTAGTTGAGAATCCAGGCCAAAGGTCAAAGCTAATTCCGACAAAATCTAAGACTTGTAACACGAGCAAATTATTGGCTATAATCAACAGTGATTTGAAAATCAATTCTCCTACACTATAATTCTTCAACCACCTGGAACAAACATGAAACAAAGTTTTCTTGCATATCGAACAGGAGAAACATACACTGAGCGCAGAAAATATCAGGGGAGGAACAGTGAAAGGAAGGCGACTTGGTCCTCCACACAAAATGTGTTTCTTCACAGCACAAATAATCTGAGATTCAAGAGATGAGCTAGTAAACAAGTCTAGCACGGGCCAAGTTACAAATCTGAAAAATCTCAAACACAAAGAAATAGTGAATAGAATAAGAAAATTCAGTATGATTTCTGAGACTGAGAATGTGCCTGAAGAGATAGAAAATGCGTTAATAAATTAAACCAAATTACTGAGTGGCCATCAAAACTATTAAGACTGACTTGAATATGATAGTTATCTTATTAACAAGAAGTCGGATAATGGATGATGCATGCTACCTTAATCATTTATTAATGAGTCTTAATTAATATTAGAAGAAGTAAAAATGTAGATGCAATTTTACCTTTAACATTTCAAGTGGATCATCATTATGCAGCATGTGTAGGAGGCGGGCAACAGAATTTTGCTCTTCCTTGAAATCCTCTTCGTCAAGCTATAATCAGAATAAAGACCATAAAAACCATTAGCTGAAGACATTTTATTTACTTTTCTGATCCATCAGTACGCTCTTTTCCAGGATAAGGCAAGAAAACAATAGGGAGTAGGCAGATGGCTCATGCAGTATCATGGCACAAGCATGAGGGAGGTGGAAGATGCAATAAAAGATTGAGATGAGAGAAATACAATGAAAATCATAAGTGAATTGTATCAAGAAAGAAGGAAAACAAAGAGCTCATAGCAACTTATAGTTGCACAGTGGGAAAAAAAATGTATTTACCTCATCAACAGTAATTTCTTCCAAGTCCTTGATAAGCCCTTTTATTAGTTCAAACAAAACGTCAACCTATCATACAATATATTAAATATAATCCAAAAAGTGGAAAGGTTGATATCGTAGAATACAAAAGAAGCGAATCAAACCTTATCAGCAGTGGAAATGCAAGAGTTACTGTTCAT